TCCTCTATAGTCATGTTCACCTCCTCTCTCCTCTACAGTCCAGTTCACCTCCTCTATAGTCCAGTTCACCTCCTCTCTCCTCTATAGCCCTGTTCACCTCCTCTCTAGTCCTGTTCACCTCCTCTCTCCTCTATAGTCCTGTTCACCTCCTCTCTCCTCTACAGTCCTGTTCACCTCCTCTCTCCTCTATAGCCCTGTTCACCTCCTCTCTCCTCTACAGCCCTGTTCACCTCCTCTCTCCTCTACAGTCCTGTTCACCTCCTCTCTCCTCTATAGCCCTGTTCACCTCCTCTCTCCTCTACAGCCCTGTCCACCTCCTCTCTCCTCTATAGCCCTGTTCACCTCCTCTCTCCTCTATAGTCCTGTTCACCTCCTCTCTCCTCTACAGTCCTGTTCACCTCCTCTCTCCTCTATAGCCCTGTTCACCTCCTCTCTCCTCTACAGCCCTGTTCACCTCCTCTCTCCTCTACAGTCCTGTTCACCTCCTCTCTCCTCTATAGCCCTGTTCACCTCCTCTCTCCTCTACAGCCCTGTCCACCTCCTCTCTCCTCTATAGCCCTGTTCACCTCCTCTCTCCTCTATAGTCCACTTCACCTCCTCTCTCCTCTATAGCCCTGTTCACCTCCTCTCTAGTCCTGTTCACCTCCTCTCTCCTCTATAGTCCTGTTCACCTCCTCTCTCCTCTACAGTCCTGTTCACCTCCTCTCTCCTCTATAGCCCTGTTCACCTCCTCTCTCCTCTACAGCCCTGTTCACCTCCTCTCTCCTCTACAGTCCTGTTCACCTCCTCTCTCCTCTATAGCCCTGTTCACCTCCTCTCTCCTCTACAGCCCTGTCCACCTCCTCTCTCCTCTATAGCCCTGTTCACCTCCTCTCTCCTCTATAGTCCTGTTCACCTCCTCTCTCCTCTACAGTCCTGTTCACCTCCTCTCTCCTCTACAGTCCTGTTCACCTCCTCTCTCCTCTACAGCCCTGTTCACCTCCTCACCTCATCTAAAGCCCTGTTCACCTCCTCTCCTCTACAGTCCTGTTCACCTCCTCTCTCCTCTACAGTCCTGTTCACCTCCTCTCTCCTCTACAGTCCTGTTCACCTCCTCTCTCCTCTATAGTCCTGTTCACCTCCTCTCCCCTCTACAGTCCTGTTCACCTCCTCTCCTCTACAGTCCTGTTCACCTCCTCTTCCTCTTACAGTTCCTGTTCAACCTCCTCTCTCCTCTATAGTCCTGTTCACCTCCTCTCTCCTCTATAGTCCTGTTCACCTCCTCCTCTCCTCTATGTCCTGTTCACCTCTCTCTCCTCTACAGCCCTGTTCACCTCCTCTCTCCTCTACAGTCCTGTTCACCTCCTCACCTCATCTAAAGCCCTGTTCACCTCCTCTCCTCTACAGTCCTGTTCACCTCCTCTCTCCTCTACAGTCCTGTTCACCTCCTCTCTCCTCTATAGTCCTGTTCACCTCCTCTCCTCTACAGTCCTGTTCACCTCCTCTCTCCTCTACAGTCCTGTTCACCTCCTCTCCTCTACAGTCCTGTTCACCTCCTCTCTCCTCTATAGTCCTGTTCACCTCCTCTCTCCTCTATAGTCCTGTTCACCTCCTCTCTCCTCTATAGTCCTGTTCACCTCCTCTCTCCTCTATAGTCCTGTTCACCTCCTCTCCTCTACAGTCCAGTTCACCTCCTCTCTCCTCTACAGCCCTGTTCACCTCCTCTCTCCTCTATAGCCCTGTTCACCTCCTCTCTCCTCTACAGCCCAGTTCACCTCCTCTCTCCTCTACAGTCCAGTTCACCTCCTCTCTCCTCTACAGCCCTGTTCACCTCCTCTCCTCTACAGTCCTGTTCACCTCCTCTCCTCTACAGTCCAGTTCACCTCCTCTCTCCTCTACAGTCCAGTTCACCTCCTCTCTCCTCTACAGCCCTGTTCACCTCCTCTCCTCTACAGTCCTGTTCACCTCCTCTCCTCTACAGTCCAGTTCACCTCCTCTCTCCTCTACAGTCCAGTTCACCTCCTCTCTCCTCTACAGCCCTGTTCACCTCCTCTCCTCTACAGTCCTGTTCACCTCCTCTCCTCTACAGTCCAGTTCACCTCCTCTCTCCTCTACAGTCCTGTTCACCTCCTCTCTCCTCTACAGTCCAGTTCACCTCCTCTCTCTCTACAGTCCAGTTCACCTCCTCTCTCCTCTATAGTCCTGTTCACCTCCTCTCTCCTCTACAGTCCAGTTCACCTCCTCTCTCCTCTACAGTCCAGTTCACCTCCTCTCTCCTCTACAGCCCTGTTCACCTCCTCTCTCCTCTACAGTCCTGTTCACCTCCTCTCTCCTCTACAGTCCTGTTCACCTCCTCACACCCTACTCCCTCCCTCTGTGTGTCCCAAATAGCACCTCATTCCATGGGTAGACAACCCTGTTCCTGGAGTACTGCAGGATTCTGTTCCAACTAGGGACCACACCTGACCAAGTGAGCTTATTGATCAGTCCAGTGATTACCTAAATTCAACGCCTTCCATGTCGGTTAAATCAAAAAACATGGAAGTGTCTGTGGCACTCCAGGACCAGGATTGCCTACCCCTATTCCCTATATAGTGCACTACTTTTGAACAGGGCCCTATGGGTAAAGTAGTGCGCTATGTAGGGAATAGGGTGCCATTTGTACTGCAGAACCTGAACTGGACTGGACTATGGAGGAACAGAATGTGTGTGGGAAAGGCTCAGACCAACAGACACTCTAAACCCTGCAGCCTCCTCTTCCACTCTCCTCCACATGGATTACATATCAACTGAAATATGGAGGAAAAAAAAACGATCTAGATGTGTAACTGAAAACCAGTGCCATAATAATTCAGACATTTAGGTCTGGTAGCAAATGGGAGTGAATAAATGGGAGTTTCTTTGTTGTATCAAAAAGTCCTTTGTAACCAAGCAACTGACTGTCACAGGTCTGGTTGACGATAAGCTTTAGGGTGGCTTGGTAACACTGAAGCCGCCCTTTTGTTTGATGTGGGTAATTTAAGCGTTATTTATTAATATCTAAGCAAGATTAGGGTATGTTGGATTTACAGAACGAGGGAAGTTTTATATTATTTTAATTTTATTTGAGGTGTTGTTGTTTCATCCAAACCATTTTAAGTCCAATGTTAATCTGGCTAGTATCGATGTTATTTTTTTTTTGTGTCTTTTTTTTTATGACGTCTGGTGTACAAACACGTGGTCTGCATCCCAAATGTCACCCTATTCCCTATTTAGTGCACTACTTTTGACCAGGGGGCTATAGAGCTGTGGTCAAAAGTTGTGCACTATATAGGGACTAGGGTGCAATTTGGGGACGGTCCCTCCCGCTTGGTAGCGTTTTAGAAAGTTGAATATAATGTCAAATATTTTGTTCCTCTTTTTCTGTTAAACTATTATATGTATTCAGTATTTGCACCATGTTAAGCACTTTTGTACATTTTCATTTTTTTTTAAATTGACAAAACAAGGGAAATGCATTAGTTTTCGTAACATCATTGGCATTCTCTTCTAAACTTTTAATGTATGCCGTTTTTGTAATAAAAAAAAAAACCTATTAACAATATGTTCTTGCTGTCATTCTACTTACTACCTACCAGTATACCTAGGCTACTGTGCTGTGCGCCAACTCCTATGTTTGGCTTGACAATAACCATAGGAGTTAGCAAGAGGGCACAAACAGATCTGGGACCAGGGGAAGGCTGTCTGTGCGACGGTGTATGGAAATAATGTATACAGTTTTGTTGAGTCAGTGGCTATTTACAGTTATCTGGTGACATCCCACCTGGGAAAAGTTAGTTTCCATATCGTATAGACTACCTTTGATTTCTTTCAGTCGGTTATTCCACTGCTGTATTCCACCCAGGACTAATTGGTCTCCGCAGAGTTCGAAGCTGGAGCAGGTCCTGTCTGGTAGTTACTGATGCATAAATAGGATGAATGATGTCACTGTCAGACAGATGATAAATGAAACAGGTGCCAGTTCTGAATTCTCTTTCAGGTGGAGGGTCTTACATTACTAATGTGAAAGCAAGCTTACATTTTAGTTGATGGCTAATGCATCTTGGAAAAAAAAAAACAAAAAAAAAAACATGATTGAAAAACAATAGCAGATCATTATTTATAGCACTCCTTTCAGAACATGTGCACACTGCTTACGCACCTATCACTACTTCACAAGATACTGTTCAATGGCCAGTCAGTGAATAGGGTCAAATTCAGGATGATGCTCTAGCACCAAGGTGCAATTTCTAAATTGGGTAGTGCATCATCATTTCTCCTCGTCATGTCAGTCACTGCATACCTTAGCTAACTTGTCAGAAATGTCCAGATCAACTAACCCATGTCAGCTAACGTTTTTTTAGCCCATAGATTTTGTAATGTTTGAGTCACACAAATATCACATGATGAATACACATTAGGCATGGCAAGATGTATAGAATTGCAATCAAATTTGCTTTAAAACCGCAAAATGAACCATATGACAATGTGTAGAATTGCAGGAAATATGCTTTAAACCTGCAAAAAATGTTCTCTCAGCCAACAAGCGGGGTGTGAACAGTTAATGTCATGCTCGTGCCCATAGAAATAGACGTGGCGGTTTTGGGACCCCCTGCTATAGCACATGGGGTATTCAACCCGGGTACTTCAGGGGGTCCGCTAAAATAATACAAGTGGGGGAAAAAATTACTGCCTTTGAAAAAGCACCCGCGAAAAGGCTACGTATCAGTGCAGGCTGCTGGCACGCTTTCTTGACTTGACTTAATGTTTTGTCGAAACGTGGCTTACCTTTGTTTAACCAGCTAAACAGCTGCTCTTTGCGAAAAATGTTAAAAGAGTTTACGCTTCCTCTTCCAATTCTAATTTGGGGAAGAAAAAAGGTTGAAGACACCCTGCTCTGGCAAAACAACAGGTCCTCTAACCAGCAGGTTAGACGTGTGAGGGGGTGGAGTCCGTTCCTACCGGGATCAGGCTGAAAAGCGACAGTTCCAACAACGTCAACGTCCATCTCTTTTCTGCTCGGTCGATGCGTGCCAGTTCAGCCTTCTCTCCGCTCGGAATTTCTCCTTTTTGCAATACTGTACATCCAAACGACACCTTGGCCGTAAGTATAGCTTTGAATATGACCAATAACCACCATTGGCTCATAATAAATGCATGTAGTGTTGAAATGATAACTTGTTTTGTAAACATGCAACTTTATTTTGAGGACTGTATATTTTTATGGCATGACCGTTTTTTTTTCCCGCTTTTATTTATATGTTGGCTTTATGACAATTATTTGAGTTAATGTGTTTTAATTGGTGGTGATATAGCCTAGTAGGGGGTTGCATAGTGAAGAACTTTGATTTGTGTTGCCTTTACAGAAGTAGACCACCATTTCTTATTTTTCCCAGTTTACCTTAGAAGACCTTTATATACTTTGCAATGCAAATGTTTTCGTTACGCAATCGAACTGTCCAATGGCAGGTGTTATGTTTCCACAAGCGAATAAATTAATCTTTAACTAGAATTAGATGTTATGTTTACGTTTGGGGTCCCTATACACGTGATATGATCATTGTGTGATCCTTTTAGCCATTATTAAAAGCAACCACTTGTTGAAAATACAGTACGATAATGTTCTATCTGCAGCAGGTGTTACTATATAACCCGCCCCCCTTTGTTTTTTTGTTGTTGGTTTTTTTCCTGTTGGTTTTTTACGACCTCCATACCAGTCTTAGTTTTTTCGACACTGTTGACAACACTAACCTGTTGTTGGCTAGATACGTTGAATCAATGTAACAGTTTCTCTCGCCAAAGCATTTACATCTCATTGATTTTTCACGCCTGGTCCCATGCATTTTGACGCGTTTGTGGGCATTTGGGGATGCATACGGTATAGAATAGAATATAATTTTCTTTGGCATCCCTATACAAGAATGAAAATGCATTCATTCAGCTCTACTGTTAGGTTAGTGTCATGATACGAACATTTAAGTCAGAAATGTAATAACAAAAAATAACAAATGTATCAGTATTTAATTCCCAAGGAAAACGTAATTTTTATTGCTCTTCAAATCAGAAACTTCTTGCACACTTATGTACTGGTTTGCTTTTAAGATCACAAGTCAAGGGCTCAGCCATCGCCATGGAGAAGTATGAGAAGATGGGGAAGATCGGGGAGGGGTCCTATGGCGTCGTCTTCAAGTGCAGGAACAGGGATACGGGACAGATCGTTGCCATCAAGAAGTTTGTGGAGACGGAAGATGATCCCATCATTAAGAAGATCGCTCTGAGAGAGATTAGGATGCTGAAGGTAAAAACCACCCAGCCTTGAGACATCTTTTTAAAACCACCCAGCCTTGAGCCATCTTTATTAAAACCACCCAGCCTTGAGCCATTTTTATTAAAACCACCCAGCCTTGAGCCATCTTTATTAAAACCACCCAGCCTTGAGCCATCTTTATTAAAACCACCCAGCCTTGAGCCATTTTTATTAAAACCACCCAGCCTTGAGCCATCTTTATTAAAACCACCCAGCCTTGAGCCATCTTTATTAAAACCACCCAGCCTTGAGCCATCTTTATTAAAACCACCCAGCCTTGAGCCATCTTTATTAAAACCACTCAGCCTTGAGCCATCTTTATTAAAACCACCCAGCCTTGAGCCATCTTTATTAAAACCACCCAGCCTTGAGCCATCTTTATTAAAACCACCCAGCCTTGAGCCATCTTTATTAAAACCACCCAGCCTTGAGCCATCTTTATTAAAACCACCCGGCCTTGAGCCATCTTTATTAAAACCACCCGGCCTTGAGCCATCTTTATTAAAACCACCCAGCCTTGAGCCATCTTTATTAAAACCACCCAGCCTTGAGCCATCTTTATTAAAACCACCCAGCCTTGAGCCATCTTTATTAAAACCACCCAGCCTTGAGCCATCTTTATTAAAACCACCCGGCCTTGAGCCATCTTTATTAAAACCACCCAGCCTTGAGCCATCTTTATTAAAACCACCCAGCCTTGAGCCATCTTTATTAAAACCACCCGGCCTTGAGCCATCTTTATTAAAACCACCCAGCCTTGAGCCATCTTTATTAAAACCACCCAGCCTTGAGCCATCTTTATTAAAACCACCCGGCCTTGAGCCATCTTTATTAAAACCACCCAGCCTTGAGCCATCTTTATTAAAACCACCCAGCCTTGAGCCATCTTTATTAAAACCACCCAGCCTTGAGCCATCTTTATTAAAACCACCCAGCCTTGAGCCATCTTTATTAAAACCACCCAGCCTTGAGCCATCTTTATTAAAACCACCCGGCCTTGAGCCATCTTTATTAAAACCACCCAGCCTTGAGCCATCTTTATTACTTTATTTCTCTCTTTTATTATCTCACACCTGTTGCTTAATTCCTCTCTGATTGCTTGTGTCTTTTTGTAATAAGCTTCACTGTTAACCCCCTGGCATGGGCCCTGGGTCCTACAGTATTATCCATGGTAAAGTATTATTTAACCCTTCTTTAGAAATGTCAAATTGTTTTGGTGTAATGATTAACTTCGACTTGTGATGTATGGAATGTCATATAGACTGGTTGTTACAATACTGTAACGGTGCTGTAATTGGTACGTTATACCAAATAGTATATCAGTATGGTCTGGGTCATCAGTAGTCAGTATGGTCTGGGTCATCAGTAGTCAGTATAGTCTGGGTCATCAGTAGTCAGTATGGTCTGGGTCATCAGTATTCAGTATGGTCTGGGTCATCAGTAGTCAGTATGGTCTGGGTCATCAGTAGTCAGTATGGTCTGGGTCATCAGTAGTCAGTATGGTCTGGGTCATCAGTAGTCAGTATGGTCTGGGTCATCAGTAGTCAGTATGGTCTGGGTCATCAGTAGTCAGTATGGTCTGGGTCATCAGTAGTCAGTATGGTCTGGGTCATCAGTAGTCAGTATGGTCTGGGTCATCAGTATGGTCTGGGTCATCAGTAGTCAGTATGGTCTGGGTCATCAGTAGTCAGTATGGTCTGGGTCATCAGTAGTCAGTATGGTCTGGGTCATCAGTAGTCAGTATGGTCTGGGTCATCAGTAGTCAGTATGGTCTGGGTCATCAGTAGTCAGTATGGTCTGGGTCATCAGTATTCAGTATAGTCTGGGTCATCAGTAGTCAGTATGGCCTGGGTCATCAGTAGTCAGGATGGTCCCTGATCTAGAGAATACACACACAGGCATGTACGCACGCACAGGGACCAGATAGAAGTCCTCCAAGGTTGGGAGTATTTAGGGACCAGATAGATGTCCTCCAAGGTTGGGAGTATGTAGAGCCCAGATAGAAGTCCTCCAAGGTTGGGAGTATGTAGGGACCAGATAGAAGTCCTCCAAGGTTGGGAGTATTTAGGGACCAGATAGAAGTCCTCCAAGGTTAGGAGTATTTAGTGACCAGATAGAAGTCCTCCAAGGTTGGGAGTATTTAGGGACCAGATAGAAGTCCTCCAAGGTTGGGAGTATGTAGGGACCAGATAGAAGTCCTCCAAGGTTGGGAGTATGTAGGGACCAGATAGAAGTCCTCCAAGGTTGGGAGTATTTAGGGACCAGATAGAAGTCCTCCAAGTTTGGGAGTATTTAGGGACCAGATAGAAGTCCTCCAAGGTTGGGAGTATTTAGGGACCAGATAGAAGTCCTCCAAGGTTGGGAGTATTTAGGGACCAGATAGAAGTCCTCCAAGGTTGGGAGTATGTAGGGACCAGATATAAGTCCTCCAAGGTTGGGAGTATTTAGGGACCAGATAGAAGTCCTCCAAGGTTGGGAGTATTTAGGGACCAGATAGAAGTCCTCCAAGGTTGGGAGTATTTAGGGACCAGATAGAAGTCCTCCAAGGTTGGGAGTATGTAGGGACCAGATAGAAGTCCTCCAAGGTTGGGAGTATTTAGGGACCAGATAGAAGTCCTCCAAGGTTGGGAGTATTTAGTGACCAGATAGAAGTCCTCCAAGGTTGGGAGTATTTAGGGACCAGATAGAAGTCCTCCAAGGTTGGGAGTATTTAGGGACCAGATAGAAGTCCTCCAAGGTTGGGAGTATTTAGGGACCAGATAGAAGTCCTCCAAGGTTGGGAGTATTTAGTGACCAGATAGAAGTCCTCCAAGGTTGGGAGTATTTAGGGACCAGATAGAAGTCCTCCAAGGTTGGGAGTATTTAGGGACCAGATAGAAGTCCTCCAAGGTTGGGAGTATTTAGGGACCAGATAGAAGTCCTCCAAGGTTGGGAGTATTTAGGGACCAGATAGAAGTCCTCCAAGCTTGGGAGTATTTAGTGACCAGATAGAAGTCCTCCAAGGTTGGGAGTATGTAGGGACCAGATAGAAGTCCTCCAAGGTTAGGAGTATTTAGTGACCAGATAGAAGTCATCCAAGGTTGGGAGTATGTAGGGACCAGATAGAAGTCCTCCAAGGTTGGGAGTATGTAGGGACCAGATAGAAGTCCTCCAAGGTTGGGAGTATTTAGTGACCAGATAGAAGTCCTCCAAGGTTGGGAGTATTTAGTGACCAGATAGAAGTCCTCCAAGGTTGGGAGTATTTAGGGACCAGATAGAAGTCCTCCAAGGTTGGGAGTATTTAGGGACCAGATAGAAGTCCTCCAAGGTTGGGAGTATTTAGGGACCAGATAGAAGTCCTCCAAGGTTGGGAGTATTTAGGGACCAGATAGAAGTCCTCCAAGGTTAGGAGTATTTAGTGACCAGATAGAAGTCCTCCAAGGTTGGGAGTATTTAGGGACCAGATAGAAGTCCTCCAAGGTTGGGAGTATTTAGGGACCAGATAGAAGTCCTCCAAGGTTGGGAGTATTTAGGGACCAGATAGAAGTCCTCCAAGGTTGGGAGTATTTAGGGACCAGATATAAGTCCTCCAAGGTTGGGAGTATTTAGTGACCAGATAGAAGTCCTCCAAGGTTGGGAGTATGTAGGGACCAGATAGAAGTCCTCCAAGGTTAGGAGTATTTAGTGACCAGATAGAAGTCCTCCAAGGTTGGGAGTATGTAGGGACCAGATAGAAGTCCTCCAAGGTTGGGAGTATTTAGGGACCAGATAGAAGTCCTCCAAGGTTGGGAGTATTTAGGGACCAGATAGAAGTCCTCCAAGGTTGGGAGTATTTAGGGACCAGATAGAAGTCCTCCAAGGTTGGGAGTATTTAGGGACCAGATAGAAGTCCTCCAAGGTTGGGAGTATTTAGGGACCAGATAGAAGTCCTCCAAGGTTGGGAGTATTTAGGGACCAGATAGAAGTCCTCCAAGGTTGGGAGTATGTAGGGACCCGTTGCCTCACAAGACAAATGTTGTTGCCTTTACAGTTACAATGTATGCTAAATGTAAAGGCAGACTCACAATACTAATGTTAAACATAGAGAAACAAAAGGCAGTTATAAACGTTACAGCTACAGGCCTCTAGACCTGTTCTTCCTCAGTCTATAGGATTCTGAGCTCCAGAAAATGATGCATGCAGCAAGGCAGGGGAAGGTGAATGAAGACCCTCTGCTTTTCCCAGCCTTGTTGTATCCCAGTTGTACGTCATTGGACACAAGGGGGAGGGGGGGGGGGGGATACTGTCTTTGTTCTTGGTCAATGCCCCTGTTTTAAGAGCTTTCAGTTGACTACAAAGAGCAGCCCATGGACACACAGTAAACATACAGTACGTCTTGACACCAGTTGACGGAAAATATTGTGTCATTTTAGTTCAACAACAGTTTGCTGTATTTTTCTGTATGATATTTGACTGTTGTGCATCTTAGATTCACTAACAAGTACCCTGACAGCTGGCTTGTGATAGATTCAGCTTTTTCCAGAATAAACATTCCTTTCCAAATAGTATGTAGAATGGATGCTTTACCTTTCAATCAGCCAAATGTGTTCATTTACATTTACATTTTAGTCATTTAGCAGACGCTATTATCCAGAGCGACTTACAGTTAGTGAGTGCATACATAATTTTTTTATTTTTCATACTGTGTTCAACACCAAACTGATTGCATGTAATTTACATTAATAATTTGCGATATTATACTGAACAACAATATAAAACGCAACATGTAAAGTGTTGGTCCCCATGTTTCATGAGCTGAAATAAAAGATCCCCAGAAATGTTCCATACTCACAAAAAGCTTATTTCTCTCATATTTTGTGCACACATTTGGTTACATCCCTGTTAGTGAGCATTTTATCCTTTGTCAAGATAATCCAGCCACCTGACAGGTGTGGCATATCAAGAAGCTGATTAAAACAGCATGATCATTACACAGGTGCACCTTGTGCTGGGGACAATAAAAGGCCACTCTAAAATGTGCAGTTTTGTCACAACACAATGCCACAGATGTCTCAAGTTTTGAGGGAGCGTGCAATTGGCAGGCGGACTGCAGAAATGTCCCAGAGAATTGAATGTTCAATTCTTTACCATAAGCCGCCTCCAATGTCGTTTTAGAGAATTTGGCAGTACGTCCAACCGGCCTCACAACCGCAGACCACATGTAACCACGCCAGCTCAGGACCTCCACATCCGGCTTCGTCACCCGCGGGGTCCTCTGAGACCCTCGCCCGGACAGCTGATAAAACTGAGGAGTATTTCTGTCTGTAATGAAGCCCTTTTGTGGGGAAAAACTCATTTTGGCTGGGCCTGGCTCCCCAGTGGGTGGGCCTATGCCCTCCCAGGCCCACCCATTGCTGCGCCCCTGCCCAGTCATGTGAAATCCATAGATTAGGTCCTAACGAATTTATTTAAATTGACTTGATTTCCTTATATGAACTGTAACTTAGTCAAATTGTTGCATTTTGTGTTTATATTTTTGTTCAGAAGGACCTTTTCTCTTTCTTAATTTTTACTTTCCTTTTTTCAAACAATCTGATCCAATGAACCGAGAAGGCTGGGCTTGACATACTAGGACTTTCTTAATCTATAATCTAAAATATTGTGCTGCTGTTATTATTTCTATTAATATTATTATTATTATTGTTATTATTTTACTTTTCTGACTTGTTATTTGGTTAGTTCTCTCTTAAGAAGCACCCTCAGACATGCAATAGACCTATGGGGCTTTGAATGTGCGAGTGAAGGGTGGCAGTATCGAATTAGGTTATCGTAGGACTGCCCATATTTCCCTCTGGGCTACGCCAATGGGCGGCCAAAGGTTTGCCTTAGGACGCAAAGGTGTGTCATGAGTCAGGGAGGTGGTCTGATGGTCTTAGGGACAACAGACCTAGATAAGGAGGTTTTAGTGGGTGGAATATCAGGTTTACACAGTTGCAGCTACGGTATTTTTAACAGTGCAAATATTATGCTACAGCTACAGTGAGGGGAAAAAAGTATTTGATCCCCTGCTGATTTTGTACGTTTGCCCACTGACAAAGAAATGATCCGTCTATAATTTTAATGGTAGGTTTATTTGAACAGTGAGAAAAAATCCAGAAAAACGCATACCAAAAATGTTATAAATGTATTTGCATTTTAATGAGGGAAATAAGTATTTGACCCCCTCTCAATCAGAAAGATTTCTGGCTCCCAGGTGTCTTTTATGCAGGTAACGAGCTGAGATTAGGAGCACACTCTTAAAGGGAGTGCTCCTAATCTCAGTTTGTTACCTGTATAAAAGAAATCCTGACCACAGAAGCAATCAATCAATCAGATTCCAAACTCTCCACCATGGCCAAGACCAAAGAGCTCTCCAAGGATGTCAGGGACAAGATTGTAGACCTACACAAGGCTGGAATGGGCTACAAGACCATCGCCAAGCAGCTTGGTGAGAAGGTGACAACAGTTGGTGCGATTATTCGCAAATGGAAGAAACACAAAAGAACTGTCAATCTCCCTCGGCCTGGGGCTCCATGCAAGATCTCACCTCGTGGAGTTGCAATGATCATGAGAACGGTGAGGAATCAGCCCAGAACTACACAGGAGGATCTTGTCAATGATCTCAAGGCAGCTGGGACCATAGTCACCAAGAAAACAATTGGTAACACACTACGCCGTGAAGGACTGAAATCCTGCAGCGCCCGCAAGGTCCCCCTGCTCAAGAAAGCACATATACAGGCCCGTCTGAAGTTTGCCAATGAACATCTGAATGATTCAGAGGAGAACTGGGTGAAAGTGTTGTGGTCAGATGAGACCAAAATGGAGCTCTTTGGCATCAACTCAACTCGCCGTGTTTGGAGGAGGAGGAATGCTGCCTATGACCCCAAGAACACCATCCCCACCATCAAACATGGAGGTGGAAACATTATGCTTTGGGGTTTTTCTACTAAGGGGACAGGACAACTTCACCGCATCAAGTACTAAGTCATGTTTTGCAGAGGGGTCAAATACTTATTTCCCTCATTAAAATGCAAATCAATTTATAACATTTTTAAGATGCGTTTTTTTCTGGATTTTTTTGTTGTTATTCTGTCTCTCACTGTTCAAATAAACCTACCATTAAAATTCTAGACTGATCATTTCTTTGTCAGTGGGCAAACGTACAAAATCAGCAGGGGATCAAATACTTTTTTCCCTCACTGTAAATGGGTCTTGGGTACAGGTGGATGCGTGAAGACCTCTAGTACAGATGAGCTATATACATTGGGACATGCATAAACCAACTACAGTTTGAGTCTTTCTCAGAGAAAATGGTTCAACTCTACTCTCATGTCTTACACTACATATACAAAAGTATGTGGACACCCCTTCAAATTAGTGGATTAGACTATTTCAGCCACACCCGTTGCTGACAAGTGTATAAAATCTGGCACACAGCCATGCAATCTCCATAGACAAACATTGGCAGTAGAGTGGCCTTACTGAAGAGCTCAGTGACTTTCAACGTGGCACCGTAATAAGATGCCACCTTTACAACAAGTCAGTTCGTCAAATTTCTGCCCTGCTAGAGCTGCCCCGGTCAACTGTAAGTGCTGTTATTATGAAGTGGAAACGTCTAGGAGCAACAACGGCTCAGCCACGAAGTGGTAGGCCACACAAGCTCACAGAACGGGACCGCCAAGTGCTGAAGAGCATAGTGCGTAAAAATTGTCTGTCCTCGGTTGCAAACTGCCTCTGGAAGCAACGTCAGCACA